AGAGCCAGCCCGCGGCGCAACCGCGTGGGGTGGGCTCGGCCGGGGACTGCCAGTGTTGGGGCGAGGGCGACCGGCGGTGCGGGCGACCCCCGAGGGCGCGTCTGGAGGCCAGGGGCAACGCGAGACTCCCGGCTGCGGCCTAAGAGGCCGGAGGCCGGGTGGGCTTGGCCGCTACCGCTGGCTCCAGCATTAAAGCAGCAGCCGGTGCGTGTATTCTCACCCGGGTCTGCGAGAAACCGGCTTAGGGCGCACCTCCCATTCCGGCCCCCAAAGCTCCGCTCCTGGGGTGCGGCTGGCAAAGCCCACCCGCCCTAGGCCGGCCCTTGGTGGGACTTTGGAAAGGACCCTAGTCCAGTCCGGAGGCCGAGGGTCCTCTGGGGGAAGCCCATCTAAAGGCTGGATGTTTTTTGGAGAATGCGTTGAGCGAAGATGTGGTCTGTCTGTAAAAGGCTGGAAAGGAACAAAATCTGTTACCATTCAGTCCATCTCTAAAGAGACACTCTGCAGCTGAAAACCCAAGAGCAAGCGCTCTCACGCCCCTGTCTGTGGTCCTACCTGCGTCCACGGCCGATCTGGTGAGTAGGAGGCCTCTCTGCCTGAGTCCGCAGTCCGAGGGTGGCGTGTCTGGGACCACTGTGAGGATGGGGCATCTTCGAGATGAAGCTTCTTAGCCATTAACGGTTCTTAAGTTCCTGCACTTGAAAGTTTCTGCACTTCGGTAACAAGACCCTTTTATATATTGAGGGGCAGGATATTTTCTACAGGTTCCAATCTCTAGGATATACACAACTCCTTTCTCTGCATCAGTCACAGGAAAAAAGTAAAAAACACAAAGAAATAAACAAAAATTCCAAACCCGCAAGTCACATACCCATCCCTTCCCTACAAACTTGCAAAAGTTGGGCCGGCTCCCTTTTCACGCAGCTAAGACTGTTCTTGGGGCACCAAATACACCTGGACCTAGTCACGGCGGAAGCACCTACTCAGATGCCAGGAGGGTTAGTTGAGATCATGGGTTTCCAAATTTGCCTGTTCCAATTCTGCTGTAGTCCTTGTTATACTTGAAGTACTGTATTTCCTCCATTCGAAGACCCCTCTCCAATGCTAACATTTCTGAAACCAGGATGCAGCCAACCAGTGAGGTTAGAAGGAAATTGGCAGCTGCTGGTTATCTGCGCGGGTGGTGATGTGTCTGTGCTGCTTTCTCGTGCGAAAACGCAGCTATGTGATTATTCTATCAGTACAGATACTTGAACTTTAAATTCACATCTCTAATTTTTTCAAAAACTAATTTAAAAAGATAATGCTGTAATAAGCAAGATGATAAAAGGCTTATAACAATGTTTATTAAGCATTTGCTGTGTGCCTAGCATTGTCTCAACCAGCATTACAACAATATGAAGTACAATTATCATCCTCATTTTATAGATGAAGAAACAGAAGCTGAGGGAGCTGAAGTGCCTTAGGGCTTTTAAGTGCTAGTGTCAGGGTTCTAACTCAGGCTGTCTGATTTCAAAACCTGCCTTTTTAACCCCCACGTTTGTATCCAGGCAGAAGATGCCTGCAGCTTACAAGGAGGGAAGTCAAGGCAGGGTCTGTGCATGTTTGTACATCTTTGGGGTGTTTATGTATCTTTGACTATCCGTGTATGTATGTATGGAACTGAGAGATAGAGCCACATCCAGGAACATTGATTATTACTCCTACATTGATGATCTTTGTTTTGGATCTTTTGCAGTTTTAAATATACTTCTGCAGGTTCTGGAGTTGTGGTGTATGACAGATGCTTCTGGATCCCTTTTCTCTTCCCTCTTGCTCCTGTAGAAGAATATTGAGGCAATGCTCAAATCTACTCAGCTGGCTGCCTCCCAGAGAAATAGTGCTTAATTTAAGAGGGGAGTCCATTTTTCAGAATTGTTAAAGTCACACCAGCCTCCAGGAGCCACAAGATCCTGTTGCTGCTGGAACCCAAGCTCCAATCTCTAGGACAGACGCAGCTCCTTTCCTGAGGGGCCGAAGTCCTGAGGGCAGGTGACTGCAATCTGAGGAGGACCGCACAGCCCTGAAGCTTCTCATCAGAGGTTCTGGCAGTTTCCTCACCAGAAGCTCAGTCAGGCAGGCATCATCATGCCACAGCAGCTCCTGATCACCCTGCCCACCGAGGCCAGCACCTGGGTGAAGTTGCACCATCCAAAGAAGGCCAAGGATGGGGCGCCCCGGTGGGAGGATGTGACCAAAATGTTTGAGGGAGAAGGTGAGAATAGACTGATGAAGGGGGAAGAAGGAGGTCTCGTTTGTGTGTGAAAAGATAGGTATACATTTCATCGGGGTGGTCTCTTGGGGAGGAAATTGGGGGAAAGAAGTTCTTTGGGATTCATTCTTACAGCTTTTGGGAAGGGGAGGGAAAGGTGAGGGAAAATACTGGGCTCCCAGCACGGGCTCCTTGTGACACCTCTGCGCTGCTCCCATCTCCTGTCCTTAAATACAACACGTGGCAGGAAGAAAATACAAGGTGTTCCCACCAGTGGCTCCTGGGTGTGGGAATGTGATTCATAGAGAGGGAGTCAAAGGTTTCTGCCCCCTTAAGTCCTCCAAGTTCCAGTCATTTTAGCCCCAGACCAGTAATTTTCACAAGTATCCGTTTTTTCATTTCATCTGCTGAGAGGCAGGAATGACAGGCCTGATTACTCTCTTTACCTTGAACTGTGTGGGTTCCATGGGAGGTATGCCCTAAATCATACTTTATTTAGTGGTCAGGAGTAGACAGAAGGACAGAGGAATGTGTCTCATGTGGTGTCTTTATTGATACCTTTAACACTTTAAACTCAGGCAGTGTTTATTGTGTTCTGTACAGATGGAAAATGACTAATTATCTCTAATGCTGATTATTAACTGATGGAGATAGACATATACCCCGATCAAAATAATAGAAAGCAGCCTAAGAAAAGTTCTGTTGGAATACAAGGGACAGGAAACTTTCTTCTGATTGTATGTATTTCAGAAATTTTCACAAAGCAGATAGCATTGAATTGAGCCTCGAAGAATGTCTTAAATTTTTGATAGAAGATTTGGGGAAAAGATACAAAAATGAGTACCTTGAAGATTGGCTCAGAGAATGGGGAATATTTAGTCTAACAGGGTTAGGAATGTGGTGGGGGTGTATGTCCCATGTGTAAAGAATGGTGGATTAGAGGTAACCATTGTTGAGAAAGTACACTTCAGGCTGATTGTAGAGTGCCTTGAAGTCCATGGTGACGTGTTTGTATTTTTCTTCCTTGTCACTGGAGAATGCTTGAGGATTTTTGAGCAAACGAGTGTCCTGAGAGATATGTGCTTTTGGAACGGCATTGACCATTGGGAATTTTTTTTTTAATCTAAAGAATTATCCATTTACTTTTCCAAAATACTTTATTCTCTCATACGTAGTTTTTGACCACTGGGAAATATTAATGCTCAAGCAACATGCAAGTTGTCCTCATGAAGGAGGCTTGGGCTGCTCTTGAGTGGCTCTAAATGTCCCTCTTTGTGAATGTATTGGGAAAAGAGCCACATTCAGTGGGTCTGCAGGCAGTTTTTCTGTTTGGGGGATGTGAGGAGATGCTAACCTTCTGGCTGTTTTCCTTCCATAGTTCTGCTGTCTCGGGATGCTGATGTGATCCAAGGAGAAAGTTTAGAGGATGAAGTGACCTCTGGGCCCCCAGCAGCAGAATCCCAGGTAGGATGGACTTTCCTCTCATTTTCTTGGCATTGCTTCTTGGTTTTTAAGGCTATAGCCTGCCTCCTTTTTTTTTGGAGGTGGGGAGAGGTGTTGAGACTAACAAATTCAACTTGGGAGCTCAGTGCAGTTCGCTCTTGTGTAGAAAATTGGGCTTCAGTGCTGGCAATTTCCGTACGCTTAGTGGCCTCCCTCCACGTAATTCTTGTTTCTCACCAACATCTAGATCTAATATTTGTGCTAATTTCTGTAGAGAAAGCAAAATGAGTGATATAATACTAGCCCCTAAAAACCAACAGATACCACTTGAGATGTAAGATAAACCTCAATAAAAATACTCAAAATCAAAATGTCTGAGAAGAAAGTTCTAACATTCTTAGTCATGTACACATAGCACTGAATTTCAAGAGGTGACTCTCAGTATAGTGCTGAGAGCACAGGTCAAACCACAGCCAAAGGGGAAGTGAGCAGAGAAGAAATAGGTCACACAGAGTACACATACTGCAGGCTGGGCAGAAAAGCAGGAGCAGCGAGGGGAGCAGTTAAAACAGGGTGTCAGAAATGGGTAGTCCTCACTGCCTGCTGGGAACAGATGAAACAGAAGGAAAGTTATAGAATAAATGCAAAAGAAAGACTTTTAAAAAGGAGATCTTGTTGGAGGATTGCAGTTTTGACTGAAAAGAACTTGGGTTCTGAAATTAGATGGTATAGGATTTGATTTTCTCTCTTATCATTACTTGATTGGTGATCTGGAGCTATTTTTTTAGCTGTTTAAAAATCTCGGTTTCCTCAACCAAGAAGTTCAGATGCTAATATCTGCCTTCTAGGATTGAAACGCATTCTAGGGTTATTGATAGTAATATGGAAGAAGTAACAGTAACAGTCTAATTATTTAAAGAGTTATGTCTACATTCTGCTTATTTGGAATTTCTCACTTCCTTTCATTTATCATAAACTGATTGGATTCTTAGCACTGGGAAAGGATTAAATTTTTTAAAATTGAGGTATAATTTACAACAGGAATACACTTAAGAAAGCGTATGGTTCTATTTTGACATTTGTATATACCACGCAACCAAATCAAGATACAGAACACTTTCACCATTTCAGAAAGTTCCCTCCTGCCCCTTCCTAACCCATACTCTGCTCTGCCCCCAACAGGAGTGCATGAAGTCTTTCTGTCATTTCTTATAGCTACATGTGAATCTATGTGTATCTTAAAGAGTTTAATTTAAAAAAGAATGTATGTTCTGTACTTGTTAGATGTAGTGGTCTGTAAGTGTTAATTAGATTGAAGTGGTTGATAGTGTTGTTCAGATCTCCTATATCCTTGATGAATTTTTGTCTATTGGTTATGTCATTTACTGAGAGAGGAGTGTTAAAATCTCTAATTATTGTGATTTTAAGCACTGAAAGAAATAGCCTATATTTTAACAGTTGGTTTAAATTTCTTTTCTGATAATTCCAATGACTTGGTTACCTGTGGGTCTGCTTTTATTGATTTTCATTTTCTTGATTATAGGTTATACTTTTCTTCTTATCTAATAATTCTTTGTTGCAGTTCAGATATTATATGTAAAGTATGTGTGTGTGCACGCATGCATGTGTGTGTGTGTGTGTGTAATTTATTTTGTTTTGTTCGGTTTCCAAGAGACTCAAAGCCCTTTTCTTAGTCTGGTGGTTAAGGTGAGGGGATGATTATTCATATTCCTCCTAGAGCTGTGGCTAAGTTTGGCTGTGATGCAGCTTTAATTTGATTGAGGTTACCTCTGATTAGCCCAACTGCCAACCCCATGACACCACCGCTGAGGGCTTATCTCTTTTATCTTTTTAGTATTTGAGCTAGGAAAGGATTAGACCACAGATCCAGACAGTTTTGTTGTTCATTTTTGAATTAAACTCCAGTGGGACTCCAGAATTCAAGCTCAGCAAGAACGCATAGGTGTTTATGCCAGTAAGTGCTAGGGGGGGAACAAAAGCCTTTCTCTTTGCCTTCGCACCTACCTCTCTGATCTCATCTCCTTCTACTCTCTCCTTAACTAAGCTGCCTCCAGGTATGCTGTTTACCTTCCTGTTCCTCAAACAAGCCAAGGATGCTCTAACCTTAGGTACTTTGTACCTGCCTAGAATGCTGTTCCCTTAGCTTTCCACATGGCTGTCTCCCTTACTGAATTCATGTCTCTGGTCAGATATCACCCTTTTAGAGAGGGCTCCCACAACCACCTTACATAAGAGATATTCCTATCCTCACTGTGGCTCTCCCTGTTCTCTTTATCCTGCTTAATTTCTTTCTAAGACATGCATGACCATCTGTCCTTCCATATATTTAATTATTTATAGTAATCTCCAGAGAATCTCCAAACAGATCCAGAGGAGGTTCCTGGTAAAACTAGTTTAGAATCTCTTAGAACTCAGAATACTGTCAGACCTTGTTGGACCTTGACAGAGGTGGTCTCTGGCTGAAAAGGAATGTGTTTGATATTCTAGGAACTGTTGACCTTCAAAGACATATCTGTTGACTTCACCCAGGAAGAGTGGGGGCAACTAGGCCCTGCTCACCAGAATCTGTACCGAGAGGTGATGCTGGAGAACTACAGGAACTTGGTGTCAGTAGGTAAGAATGGGCTACCCACACATCCAGAAACCTACCCATTACAGGAAAGTCATTATTTTACATTATCAATGTTGTAGATTTCTTGAAGCTTGGCCTTGTGTTCTGTGTTAGAGATGTCTTATTCCTTTGAAAACCAAGCCAGGGCATATCTGATCAACCTTCCTTGGGGAACAGCTTTACTACATAGAGGCAGAATAGAAAGATCCACCCCTTTCCACTTTCAGAGAACCTGAATACCAGAAGACTTGACCTAAATTCTGGGGATAGTTCTTTGACATCAACATAAACATTCACATTCTTTTTTTACTCCATAAGCAGGATATCAACTTTCTAAACCCAGTGTGATTTCCCAGTTGGAAAAAGGAGAGGAGCCATGGATGACAGAGAAAGAAGGCCCAGGAGATCCCAGTTCAGGTGAGAGCAAGGCAGATGGTACCTTTTAATACATAGATCAGAGTGCTCAAAGTCATTCCAGGCTGTGGGGAAGGTTCACAGGACAGGGCCTGCACTAAACCTGATTTCACCCCTCCCTCCATTGCCCTTTCCTTCACTGAGCTCTAGCAAAGGTCCCTCTGGAGTTGGAGGGAAGAGAAGTCTTGTTCTCATTAAGGTCGAACTTGATTTTCCCTCTGTCTCCAATATCCTTAGGACTGCCAATTTAAAGGTCCTTTTCTTTAAGCAGTAAGATGCACCTGGTCTCTCCACAGAAAACAGATCTCTTTTGAAGACTCTTACTGCATTCTGTAAATCTTTAATTTTCTTGCCCTTTATTTTCACTTTTTGCCAGCTTTCAGTCCCAGCTTCAGTTTGCATTCTCTTTTCAACTGCGTATCTTGATTTTTTATAATGGCTGCTTCATGAAAACTCCTACAAGAGAAATTTCTTTCTCACCAAATCTGTGGTTTCTAGCAATCTCCTTAAACTTTTCTTTTTATTATGAAATATTTTAGACATTCAGAAAGGCATAGAGAACATTATAACACATTTTTATGTAGCTTCCATCTAGATTAAGAAATAAAACAGAGTTGCAGCCCTGCTGTTCCCCTTCCACCTTTCAAAATAACCACACTTCTGAGTTTAAATATTATCATTCCCATTATGTTCTCATATTTTTGTTACATA